CTATTACAACTACTGCTACTGCTACTGCTACTGCTGCTACTACTACTACTACTACTACTACTCCTACTGCTGCTGCTGCTGCTACTACTACTACTACTACTACCGACAAAAGTACAGAGGAGATTTTCTGAGAGTAGATGTTGGGTCCTTGGTCGAGCTACCTAGAAGGGTTTCCGCTAAACTGGTTGTTTTGCATTCGGAGGCTCTCCCTTCATAACTGCTTAGAGCGATGACCATACAAAGGGCCACTTAGACTTAGTCCCGTCGTCAAAAACAGACTGCGACCCACCGGGATTTTCCCTTGGAGATATGGGAGAGTTTCTTGGTCTTTTGCACTTTGGCCTTTAGGCTTGCGTTGGTTTGTTGGTTGGATCCCCACGTCTTCGAGTCCAACTGCCAATCAAGACCCCGCCTACTGATACTTCTAAAGCTACTGTTCCTGCTGATACAGCTTCTGCTACTGCTACTGCCACTACTACGGCTGCTGCTGCTGCTGCTGCTGCTACTACTACTACTACTACTACCACCGCTACTACCGCTACTACCGCTACCACCACTACGGCTCCTGCCGCTGCTACTATCTACTACTTCCACCACTACGACGACGACGACTACTACTGCAGCTCCTCCTCCTTCTCATCCTGCTCCCTCCTACTCCTACTCCTGCTCCTACTCCTCCTCCTCCTACTCCTACTCCTACTTCTACTCCTACTCCTACTCCTACTACTCCTGCTGCTACTATTACAACGACGACTACTAGCACTGCTACTGCGACGACTCTTCCTGCTACAGCTGCTGCTACTGCTAATGCTGGCTGCTGCGGCTGCTACTGTTACGGCTGCTGCTGCTACTTCTACCTTTACCAACTCTCCTACCGCAACGATGTTTTGCTGACTGCCCTTGCCATCATTGCCAGGAGGGCCTTCAGGCCCGGCCCTCACTGCTGGAGTTCCGAGTGCAATTCTGTACTGATCGTGGCGCCACACGAGCAGCATGACCGTGACATCTCCCGATTCTGGTCCTAGACTCCTAGACCTGAGGCCGGTGTCGTCCCAGCCTTGGATGTATGTTTAGGTTCGATTAAAGCTGCTTCGCTGAACTAGTGACCTGAGCTGGCTTACTCCTCGTCATCAGGACCCACATATGCTGCAGTACTATGAGTCCTACTACCAGCGGCTTGCCAAGCGACATGGTGCACTGCGAATCAGTACTTCCGAAAATCGAAGCACGAGGTCTTTGGGATACCCACCAGGCACCGCGACGCAGGTGGGCATGGTTGCTTTCAACCAGTACGACACATCACAAACGGCTTAGTGATGCAGCAAGAACATGATGTGCAGATGCTGGGTGGCGCGGGCGCAAATCAGCAGCAGCACCAGATGGCTCTCCCAGCGCCAATGATGCCAGGCCTGGACCCCGCAGCACACTGTGGGTGCCGTATGTCTTGTGGCGCGGAAAAGCAACCCCTGTCCAATATTTCGCAGGTGCTATGATGCAAGCTGCGGGCAGCTTATAGTGACCGATTGCAGTCCCAGTCGCTTGGATTTCTCACCAACTCGTTCCCGTCCCCTTTAAGGCCTTTCCGGAGCCTTGCTATACAGTGCTATAGTACCCCCGGAAGCGACGGAAGGGTGTGGCAGGTGTAGAGCAGCGACTCGACTCCGAAGGGAGTAACCTGAAAGCAAAAATCGCAGGGAACGCGCCAGAAACAACCTCCGAAACGACATCGAGAACTTCTAAACATGAATGAGAAGAACTGCAAAACCGGGGAAAACTGAAGCCCTCCAGAAAGGCAGCTACTGAAACATGTTCCGACCTGCAGAGCAGATCATTACCTGCATGTTGGCTGCAGTCTTGTGAAAGTGGGAGCTTGCATGCCCTCCAGAAACCGAATCGATTCGCAACAGGACCCTAATCGTGCAATCTCCGTCATGGTGGTGACATTCCTGGAGCTTTGCACCGGGATGCGGAATGACAGAACCATCTCCCCATGATGACGAGAACGATGAGGGCCACAACACGGAATCTTCGGATAGTCTTCGGATCGAGATGTTTTGAGTCAAGTTCCAGTCGTGCCGGGACAAGTGTACTCGCACCCGGGAACGAGGCTCCAGCAGGAACGCCAGCGCTTCAGGACGGCAAGAGTTCTTGCAAAGGAGGCGAATGGAGGCCTTGCTGTTGACCTCACTTTGATCAGGATTCCGCCTGGATGCAGCCTAGACCGATGTCCGCGCTTCAGCCTAGTGTCACGAAGTTGGTGGTGCGTCTTCTGTCAAGCCATAGAGCACATCAAATGAACTGGAAGGGGCCTGCCATTGGCTTTACCACCCTCGCGACACCCTGGCATGATGGCACCGCCAACTCCGCAGAACCGTTGCAGCCTCAGTGGCTCAATGTCCTGCAGCACAGCCTTCACGCGTCAGAGGCCTTAGCATCAGACCCTCCTGCATCCTCCTGCAGATAATGCGAGGTGGTCGTTCACCTCGAGGGAACGAGACCGGCCGCCTGCCTACAAAGCTTTCCTTGAGACGATGACCCAGCGCAGATCTTCCGTCTTGTCATGTACAAAGCCAAACTCAGGCAAGAGCTTCGGCGACTTGGTTTCGGAGACAAACAGGCCTGTCCTGCCATTCTGGTCGAGCCCGTCGTTTGCTCACCGCTTCCGCTACTGAGGCGGCCGTCCCGGCAACTACCACTGTTCACGGCATCTCGACGACAATCAGTTTCTAGCACAGGAAGCCAAAATGCAGTGCGGACTTGAGGACACCTCATTGCCACGTATGCCAACGCCTACCGCCACTCCGCGTGGGGTCGCTACACCACGTGCAGGTGAGGACGCCACCTTGGCGAAGACCTTAAACCTCTGCGCGTATTTGCCATTCAACTGCACCCATGAGCGTGGCAAAGCTCGCGGGTGATTCGCACCTGTGGCTGCCAAGGCTCTGGAAGACGGCAACACCGAGGAGGCAGCTGCAGGCGCAGTCCTGCCAGATCTGGCCCATCCTAGTCGGTTTCCCGATCTTTCTGCGATGTGCTCCTCTTTGTCCAGGAGAGGAGGTCACCGTCACCGTCTCCAAGAGCCTCGAGGATGTCAAGGAGCACCGTCCGTCCACAGCAGACTCAGCCGCCCGGCAACACGTGGGAACATGAGCTCACCCTTTTTTGAGTCCGCGCCAAACGCAGCAGATTGCTTAGGTTCTGAGCTGCCTCTCGGAGTCCACCGCAGGTTCAGGCCAGGATGAGACTCCTCCGAAGGAGGGTCTATAGGAGTTTAGGGTGAAGTTTTTCCCGAAAGCTTCAGCGAAG